TGGCAGTATAATAAATGTGATCTAAATGCAGATTAATCTGGATCTGTTTAGATAATCAGCAGATAAGTTTTATCATCATGACTTAATGATCTTTGATCTCTCTTCTTCAGGAGGTCAGTGAACCTACCAAGGAGGAGAAGGCGGTGGCCAAGTACCTGCGCTTTAACTGCCCCACCAAATCCACCAACATGATGGGACACCACGTGGATTACTTTGTCGGTCAGTGTGCTCATTCCTGCCCTGCTTTCTTCTGTTTCCTCTGCATAGGGTTTATATCAAGGTTTCGTTTATTTATTTGTTGAGTTCTCGATGTTCTCTCTTTGCTGTCAATGAACCAAATGTTTGTTTTCTGTTCATCAGCCTCCAAAGCAGTCGACTGTCTACTGGATTCAAAGTGGGCCAAAGCAAAGAAGGGCGAGGAAGCTTTGTTCACAACCAGAGAATCGGCGGTGGACTATTGCAACAGGTAAACCTAGGCTTTTCTCTCATTTCGTGAAACTGTTTAGAATTTCTATGGTGTTTGATACTACAAAGCTTTTGAAGAAGGTCACTTATTGTCGCCAAGACAGTAAAAGCACTTATATTGTGAAATATTATTACAATTTAAAATCGCTGGTTTCTATTTTACTATATTTTAAAGTGTAATCTATTCCTGTGATTGTAAAACTGAAGTCTGAAGGTCTTCAGTGGCACATGGTCCTTTTCAGGATTCTTTGATGAATGGAAAGTTCGAAAGAACAGCATTTATTTGAAATATTTTGTAACATTATAAATGTATTTTGAAACGTAACTGCAAAGTTTTGAATGCTAGTGTATGTCAATCAGCCACTGATCTGAAATGTATTGCTATTCACAGACTTCTAAAGAAGCAGTTTTTCCACCGAGCCCTGAAAGTGATGAAGAAGAAGCCAGAGAAAGATGTAAAGAAAGAGAAGGAAAAAGATAAGGCTAAAAGTGACAGCGGCAAAGAAGAGGATAAAAAAAGCAAAAAGGACAAAGACAAAAAGAAGGACTCTGAGGCTACGGACACAAAGAAGGAAAAAAATGTATGACTAGATCATCTGATAGGATGAGAAAACACAAACACATTCTGTTCCTCTTGAGGTATTTTTTGCATATGTGCATATCATCATTTCTGTTTGTAAACTCTTGTTTCTGTATGTTTAGGATGACAGTCCAGGATCTCCAAAGAAGAAGAAGGATGTGAAAAAGAAATTCAAGCTGGAACCTCATGAGGACCAACTGTTCTTGGATGGCAGTGAGGTCAGGATGACTTTAGAAAACCATATCTCATGGTTGCTTTTAAATTGCATACCTTTTTATTTGATGATTAATTGTCATAAAAGTAACTGCAAAGAAGGGTTTGATTGTCTGCGTTATATTGCATACAGTGTAACCTTAATATGCATACACTTTATGTAATAGTATTTTCTCCACATTGAAAATGAAATCAAATAATAAAATGTATGATTAACATTAAGGTTTTCTAAACAATACTGCACAGGGGTAGCATAGTGTTATTTTGATATTATTTATGTACTATTATAATATTTAGTAATATTTTGAATTAGCTTCTATTTTTTTATATTTCAGTTTTCATTTTAATTTTGTTTTAGTAATTTTGTATGTTCTTCTGTAAATGTTAATGTTTTTACTTATTTCTTAGTCATTTTAGTGCTTCAAGTTAAACGTACTTTTTTTTTAGTTGACAAATCAACATTTCTAATTTTTGTGTAGATTTTCTTTTTTAGGTTTATGTTTTTTTTATCTAATATTTGGATTTTATTTAGTGCTGTCAAATGATTAATCGCATCCAAAATAAAAGTTTTTGTTTACATAATATATGTATGTGTACGGTGTATATTTATGTTTATATAAATACACACTCATACAGTATATATTTTGAAAATATTTACATGTATATATTTATATAATTTATATATAATGAAATTTAATATACAAATATAAAATTTTTCTTGAATATATACTGTATGTGTGTGTATTTATATATACATAATAAATATACACAGTACACATACATATACATATATTATGTAAACAAAAGCTTTTTATTTTGGATGCGATTAATCGTTTGACAGCACTAATTTTATTTAATTTCAGCTTTATTTTAATTACCTAAAATTATTTGTAATCTTTTTAGCCTTATTTAACTATTTCAACACTGGTACCCTAATAATAATTTTATTTAATTACATTTATTTTTAATAACAATAATAATAATAATTTTATGTCATTATATAAGTATAATTATTTTTAAACACTGATTTTTTTTTTTAACCCAGCCAACCTGAGTATTATAATATAAGATTATTTTTATATAATTATATAACGAGTATTGTAACTGTTGTTGTTGTGATTAAAATATTACCTTCAAAAATGAAATGGTTCTTCACTTTCACAAGTACTTTTTGTTCTAATTAAAAAGTTATAATATTTTTCTTCCCTACAGGTTTATTTTTGGATTTACGATCCAGTCCACTTTAAAACCTTTGCCATGGGCTTGATTCTAGGTGGGATTTTTTTTCTCCAGTTTAGCCTGACTGTCGTTTCTCTGGCTCCAGTACTGATTCAGAGCTGTGTGTGTTTGCAGTCATTGCCGTCATCGCAGCCACTCTGTTCCCACTCTGGCCCGCTGAGATGAGAGTTGGTGTGTATTACCTGAGCGTGGCAGCAGGATGCTTCGTCGCCAGCATACTTCTCCTGGCCATCGGTATGAGCTCTAGACTTTTCGATCTTGTATTATACCAATATTTCACATTACAGTCCAATGACACCGTCTTTCCTCATCTTATTTCTGGTTTCCCCTTTGGTTCAGCTCGTTGCATCCTGTTCCTGATTATCTGGCTAGTGACTGGCGGCCGTCATCACTTCTGGTTCCTACCCAACTTGACAGCCGACGTGGGCTTTATCGACTCCTTCCGCCCCCTCTACACGCACGAATACAAGGGTCCGCGCTCCAGCTCCAAGAAATCCAGCAGCGAGAAATCCGACAACAAGGATTCAAGCAAAGTGCAGAAATCAGATAGCGAGGACAAATCGGACAGCGAGAAGAAAGACGACGATGAGGAAGAGGATGAAGACGACAATAAAGAAATAGAGGCGAGCGAGGAAGCAGGCGCAGAACGTCAGTCGGACACGGACAGTGACAGACGGGAGGATGAAGGGTCGCAGCACAGATGTATATATTTATATAATTTATATATAATGAAATTTAATATACAAATATAAAATTTTTCTTGAATATATACTGTATGTGTGTGTATATTATGTAAACAAAAGCTTTTTATTTTGGATGCGATTAATCGTTTGACAGCACTAATTTTATTTAATTTCAGCTTTATTTTAATTACCTAAAATTATTTGTAATCTTTTTAGCCTTATTTAACTATTTCAACACTGGTACCCTAATAATAATTTTATTTAATTACATTTATTTTTAATAACAATAATAATAATAATTTTATGTCATTATATAAGTATAATTATTTTTAAACACTGATTTTTTTTTTTAACCCAGCCAACCTGAGTATTATAATATAAGATTATTTTTATATAATTATATAACGAGTATTGTAACTGTTGTTGTTGTGATTAAAATATTACCTTCAAAAATGAAATGGTTCTTCACTTTCACAAGTACTTTTTGTTCTAATTAAAAAGTTATAATATTTTTCTTCCCTACAGGTTTATTTTTGGATTTACGATCCAGTCCACTTTAAAACCTTTGCCATGGGCTTGATTCTAGGTGGGATTTTTTTTCTCCAGTTTAGCCTGACTGTCGTTTCTCTGGCTCCAGTACTGATTCAGAGCTGTGTGTGTTTGCAGTCATTGCCGTCATCGCAGCCACTCTGTTCCCACTCTGGCCCGCTGAGATGAGAGTTGGTGTGTATTACCTGAGCGTGGCAGCAGGATGCTTCGTCGCCAGCATACTTCTCCTGGCCATCGGTATGAGCTCTAGACTTTTCGATCTTGTATTATACCAATATTTCACATTACAGTCCAATGACACCGTCTTTCCTCATCTTATTTCTGGTTTCCCCTTTGGTTCAGCTCGTTGCATCCTGTTCCTGATTATCTGGCTAGTGACTGGCGGCCGTCATCACTTCTGGTTCCTACCCAACTTGACAGCCGACGTGGGCTTTATCGACTCCTTCCGCCCCCTCTACACGCACGAATACAAGGGTCCGCGCTCCAGCTCCAAGAAATCCAGCAGCGAGAAATCCGACAACAAGGATTCAAGCAAAGTGCAGAAATCAGATAGCGAGGACAAATCGGACAGCGAGAAGAAAGACGACGATGAGGAAGAGGATGAAGACGACAATAAAGAAATAGAGGCGAGCGAGGAAGCAGGCGCAGAACGTCAGTCGGACACGGACAGTGACAGACGGGAGGATGAAGGGTCGCAGCACAGCAATGGCAACGACTTTGAAATGATCACCAGAGAAGAGCTGGAGCAGCATACAGAGGAAGAGGAGGAAGAAGACGAGGAAGAGCACAGTGAGACAAAGCCCTTGACTGTTCAGACATAAACGTTTTCCTCACGCCGCGCACATACTACCATGCTCCATGTGGACCTGTTGACGTACTTCTGTCATGTTCGGAAGATGTTTCCCATTTCTGTTCAGGCTGAGATCTTCTTCTGTGCAAACAGACGACTTAAAGATTAAACGAGAGCAGGAAACGGCTATGATGACAATGGAAAATATCGCAAAGGCTGTTTGGTTTGCCTGAAAATGCTTCCCCCACTATGGATGCAAGAACCGCAAGTCTCCCCGACCCCCGTGTTTTTCTTTCATCTTTGCTTTATCTAAGTATTTTGCTGTATAAACACGTCAGTAGTGGATTGGTGAACTTTCAAAATGGTTTTTCAGTTTCACCCACATATGAAGGTTCGCTGTCCAAGCTCTGCAAATTCAAATCTGGAAGTTTTTTTTCTTTTCTTTTGTACCGTTAGATACGTTGGATAATTTGGACGGACCAATATATTTTGTCTTAGACACCTAATAAGTGTTACTTTCTATCAAATCTCAATGGCACTTGGCCTGTGACATTTCTGTGTGGAAATCTGGGAGATCTTGCTTGGTTTGAAACGAGAGCTGTATTTTTGTGGACTTGTGACACGGTCTGCCTCATATATTTCTGCAATCACCTTTTGTGACCCTGATGAGAAATAGTCCTTGTTAACGGAAACGGACAAGTTAATAAATCTGAACAGTATCCTTGATTGAAGTAGGCAGTTATTTGAAACCAAACTCCATTTGGGTCCCTCGAGGTCAACTGCGTTCACAAGGGGAAACTACATGCTCATTTGTGCCAAATGATGCGGGATATTGATGCTTTTTTCATATACATTCAAATTCTGACCAACTTCCAGAGAAATAGTTCAAAATGTCATGCCGTAGCTCACATCCATGCATCATAGCCTCTGGTTTTCTCCTCTGGTCTTCAAACGCTGAGGTTGACAAATCGTACTTCCCCGAGGGGCTGTGGTCCAAAATAGCTTGTTAGTTAGTTTGCGTTTTAATAGGGCCGAGGTCCAATACTATCCTTCCGTAGGGTTGCATACTATTGGCTAGAGTATTATTTTACATTAGCTGTTTTTTGTTTTTTTTACTCATACTGAGGATGATATTTAAGAGATGAAATACAAATGTATCATTTATATATGGACAAATGTATCATTTATATATGGATTCTATAAATCTACCAGAGATGTTCATGCCAGCAGTTCGAGTTCAACAGGAACTGTACACTATTTTATAATGTCAGACACGCAGGTTTTCATTTTACTGCATTTTCTACAAATACTAAAACCACCAGTAAATGTTTTCGAAGATGGAAAGATTGTTTTTGGACAATGTATTCGAGTTAGAATGCTGAAAACATCTGTTCATCTGCAGACTCTAGTGGTTATCAGATGCGCACAAGAGGCTGCAAAGGTGGTTTTTCAATATTAAAAAACTGAGAACCCTTATTAAACCATCCCTCAAACTTCAAGGTCATCTCAAGTTCACAAGGAGCAGGGAAACCCCTCGTGCCCAGTGAACGTCTCTCTTTCTTCTTCAAATGCTAAGAATCTTTAACCATGTCTGTAAGTAGATGATCTTGTTGGTCACACTTAAGTGTTCCTGTAGAAATACTATGTATGTCCTCAATATTCTGTCATTGACTTTGAAGACCTGGCTAGACTAGGCATGACACCATGTGTGTATCTATATCTGTATTTTCTTTCTATGGAACTTCACTCACCTTTGTTTTCTGTCCCAATGTCTTTGAGATAAAGATGCTGATATGCCAGATGATTTTTTTTTTTTTTAATTAGCAGGAAATTTAATTTGCCATTGGCTGTCTGTCATAAAATGTAGTGTTACATCATTTATAAAAAATTAACTGAAATCCCATAATTTATGTGGTCAGCATCTTCAACTAACTAATTGTCCGTATTTGGATCAATGTTGAGGACTGTTTTTGCAATAGCTGGAGAATAATTTAAGTGTCCGTCAGAAACTATATCTGTATCCTTTCATTGCAATAAAAATATAGAACACAAGCAATTTGCATTGTTTTGTTGAAAAACGTCACAATTGATGCTTTCCGTTTTTATAAAATATTTCACACAAGCAATTTATTCTTTTTTTTTTTTTGGTAATACAATTTATTTTCCACTGTTCTGCAAACATTGTTGCATTAGTAAATACAACAGGTTATAAAAGCCCTAAAATACATAAGGATACATTTCAAATGACAAAAACAAAAGATAACATCCAAGATAAGAAACTTTTATTGAAATATTACAAATGAGACAAACACACATCATAGGATCTCTTATTTACATCAAACAGCTAACATACATTCAGCTATACTAAGTTCTTATGCAATGACATGATATGACCTTGCACTGCCAGAAATATTTCATGAGAAATGCAAAACATACAATGCATCTGTAAATAAAAATATCACAGCTTAATGTCTATTAAATATTAAACTAAACAGATAATGGCTTTAGAAATAAGGATTTGAAAATGCAACATCCTGTGCCGCCACAGGGAGGCTACAATATACTTTGACAAGAACTACTTGGGTTTGACAGCCACCTAACCAAATAACCAAAACATTAGTTATGTGATTCATATTCAGAAAGGCTCTGCACAGGTTAATCAATTAGAATGAAAATCAAACAAAAGCTTGAGCTACAGGAAAAAGACTGATAAACCGCATTCAATCTTAGTAGTTGAATGTACAATGGTGTCTAGTAGAGCAAACAAAACTGATCGCCAACATGTTAAACTGACAAAGCATGGCTTCTCATACAGTTTATTACAAATAAGGAATCACACAGAAAACCAAGCTTTGTCTGTTTGTAGGTGAGGATAGTTTGTGGTCAATTTAGCTAACAGCTACAGAGTTAAACACAAAAACCTCAAAATGAACATTTTATGCTTAGTAAATGACTTGTAACACATTTCCTGCTATAATGTGCATTTCAAGTTCAAATATCTGGTGGATAACTTGTAATTTCTGTTACCTAAACCATTTAGAAGTGAATGAATCTACATAACCTACAGTACAAATTTAAATGTTGGATTTTTAAATAATTCTTAAATGGTATTGTAATAAAAAAATATATATACTACAAGTAGTCAGATCAGTTATTTAGCATGTTGTGAAGCGGTCAGCTGCAAAAACAATTCTCTAAGAAATACTGTCTGCATAACGATGTTTAGCAGTCGCACTATGACATTGTATGTTAAGCAAACGTTTTGTTGCCGTTAAATTGCAAGTAATCCAGGCTAACCTCTAACAATAAATGTGTTATTTCTCAGGTAGCACACGAGCACTTATTGCGATTTATAATGAAATCTGTAAATCTAAGAACATAGAAATGTGCAATGTAGAAAAAGGAATTTTGAACTCTAACCCCCTTTTCAGTGAGTCAGGATGGAATGTAAAGTCAACAGAGAGTTTTGTGGTGATGTTTCAGTTCTCCGTTTCTGAAGAGTCGCTGGCATCCGTTAGACGCGTTTGCTTCTTGCGGACGTTCCAGTGGAGACATTGAGCCAGACTGTCAAACCAGTCGTACACCAGATCATGACAACAGATGGAAGGGACCGGAAAGCAAGAGGTTGTGATCTTAATGCTATAATGGAAAAAAAGAACTCATGATTAACAGATACGGCAAGTGTGGTTGAGAGTGCAGCTTGAGAAAAAAGGGCAAACTGAATTTGAACTAAAAGGTTGAGCTCCCTATTGAAACTGTTGATGCTCATTTCCATAACTGTAATACAGCTATTGTTGTAGCACTGGATTATGGGAGAGGTCAAAACTGTTTGCTTATGGGATTGTGTAAAAAGAGTGTCACCTGTCCCCATGCTGGATTTCCTGCCTCTTTCTGCCATCAAACGAGACCCAGGCTGTGTTGCGAGCATCAGGTGACAGCGTTATCTGCAGGGTAAATACAGTTAGCGCAAACAGATGTTCTTCTGAAGCTCTCATTTGAAGGAAATAAATAAATAAAACCTAAGTTTAACAAATAACTCTTTCATTTGGCAGATGCAGTTTCATCACAGAAATGGAAAAACCTCAGTCCCGTTCTCACCATGAGCTCCACTCCTGCGGGCACCACGATGGGTCTAAAAGAGAGGGAGTGAGGGCAGATGGGGGTGACCATGATGGCAGGGACATTAGGGTGGATCATGGAAGCTCCCGCTGCGGCAGCATAGGCTGTGCTGCCCGTGGGGGTGGAAACTATTACACCTGCATAGAAACACGCCACATATTTGCATTTATTTTCATGGCAGCTGGCCTCTCTTGTCAAAGCAGATGAAAAGACCAGAATGTATTGATACATCTGCTAGAGCTATCAAGAAAAAAAAAAAAAAAAGATCAAGCACTCAAGATAATGGCGCCAATCTAAAATGTTAATCATTTAAAAATAAAAATCAAAGCCATGCTATCATTATAAAGTCTGTTGTCGAGAAGAGGTTTTAATGCTTTCGATGTCTCTTAGGCTCAACAAGGCTGTATTTATTTGATATACAGTAAATACAGTGAAATATTATTACTTGTAACTGATTTCAATTTGATATCTATATAGATTTTAAAATGTAATTTATTCCTGTCATAGCAAACTGAGTTTTTATCAGCCATTACTCTTGTCACATGATCCTTCAGAAATCATTCCAATATGCAGATTTGATGCTCAAGAAACATTTCTTATTATTATCATCAATGTTGAAAACAATTGTGCTGCTTAAAGGGATAGTTCACCCAAAAAATAAACATTCTGTCATTAATTACTCACCCTCGTGTCGTTCCAAACCTGTAAGACCTTCGTTCATCTTCGGAACACAAATTAAGATATTTTTTATTCAATCCGTGAGCTTTCGGACCATGCATGGAGAGAAATCTAACTCAAATGTTCCCAGACCCAGAAACGTAGTAAGGACGTCATTAAAATAGTCCATGTGAAATCAGTGGTTCAACCGTAATTTTACAAAGCTGCTTCTTTTTGTGTGCAAAGAAAACTAAAATAACGACTTTATTCAACAGTTCTTCTCCAAATCACGTTTTCCACCATTATTGAGAGTACCTCTGCACGTAAACAACGTATGCATGTGATGCTGCTGACATACTGTAGAACACGCATGCACTGAGCCTTGTTTACGTGCAGACGAAAGTAATGTGCATGCGTCGTGATACTCTCCATAATAGCTTCGTAAAATTACGATTGAACAGCTGATGTCACATGGACTATTTTATGACCCTATGCAGGGTCAGAGCTCTCGGATTTAATCAAAAATATCTTCATTTGTATTCCGAAGATGAAAATGTCTTACGGGTTTGGAACGACATGAGGGGGAGTAATTAATGACAGAATTTTCATTTTCCCATGGGTGAAGGGTGAACTATCCCTTTAATATTTCTGTGGTGGAAACGGTCATACTTATTGTCAGGACTCCGTGATGAATAGAAAGTTAAAAAGAACAGCATTTCATGTCAAATAGAAATCTTTTGTAACATTATAGATGTTTTTACTGTCACTTTTCAGCAATTTAAAGCATCCTTGCTGATTGAAAGTACTAATTACATTCTGAAAAACCCTTAACCAGACCCCTTTTAAGTGGCTTGCACAATGGTGACAAGATAAAAAAGGGATCTATCAGTGCTGTTTGTAGCTGAAGCGTATGATTGCGCTCACCATCTCCCTGTACAGATGTGATGAGGCGTCCATCCAAGTAAAGGTCGACGTTAGACAGGTAGGATGAAGGCCCTCTGTCCACCACCACCTCATTTAGCACCTTTATATACACACATAATATCCATATCACAGAATTACACATAAAAGCATCCAACAAACAGAACAAAACATTTCTGTATTTATCACATGCCACTCTGGTCTAAAATATCTCGCACGTAAAAACGCAGACTGTCAATGACATTATGTTATTGCTATGACAACTGGACATGCAGACCTATCACAGTTGCTATTTTCAAATAACTCCATTATGTCTGTTACCATGGAAAAGGTCTCTAAATAGTCTTGATGGATTTTCTCCCTGAAATAATATTCTGAGAGTGCCCTTACTGGGCAGACATTCAGGCATTTTTCTTGTGCAACATTTTAATATCTCGCATCTATTACATTAGTTTTCTTCATGTCTCCTCAATCCTAACATAATTTTGTTATTACTGTAATGTATATGACAGTGCTGAATTCTAATAAAGCAATAAGCCCCAAGAAGCCGTGGTTTACAGTGAATTTATAACCGGTTATTCCATATATGTAGCAAGTTTTCACAAAATAAAACCAAGCAAATAAAATGTAATGATATTAATTAAAAAAATTATTCTTCCGCCAAACAATGTAGTTCCTCAGAAACGGTTGTGGTTGCAACAAAGTGGTTTCCGAGCAACACACAGATGTAAACAAAGGCGTATGTTTGTAGAGTAATTTACAACAGCTTTGAATGCGGCTCAACCAATCAGAATCAAGGACCGGAACTATCCGTTTTATAAAATAAATGTTGTAAATTTTTTAAGCTAATAAATTATATACTCATTGTAAACAAGATGTACATTCATGTATATGTCTGTATGTACATGTGCTCTACCGTTCAAAGGTTTGGGGTCAGTAAGATTTTTACACATTGTTTTTGAAAGAAGTTTCTTATGTTCAACCAAGGCTGTGTTTACGTGATCAGTAAAGACAGTAATATTGTAAACTGTTATTACAATTTAAAATTCTGTTTCTAATTTAATATATTTTAAAAGATAATTAATTCTTATGATGGAAAAGTTGAATTTTCATTCAGCAGCCATTACTCCAGTTCTCAATGTCACACATTCCATCAGAAATCATTCTAATTCTTTTAAATTAAGGAATTCATTTTCAATTTTTTTGGATGAATAGAAAGCTCAAAAGAACAGCATTTGTTTGATAGAAATCTTTTGTAATACTGTAAATCTATACATTTACTGTCACTTTTGATCAAAAGAGGCCATAAGCTTATTTTATGGGCTCTCTCTTAGAATGTCATGTGATTGGTTGACGCCACACCATCAGATTTGTCCAACGTCCTTATTGGTAGATTGCAAGTTTAATTTTTTTCAGTGTTTGTGTTTGCTTAGAATTTGTTAGGCCTGTGTGCCAAAACGTGTTGGCAAACAAAGACAGACTTTGTCTCAAGCCCAGTATTTTGATTCTTTGATTTCTCCATTTCACAAATGTCACTGGTTTTGAGTTCAACAAATACTTTGAGTGCTGCGTTACCTGTAACTGTAGTGTGATTTTGCCTGCCTCATTGTTTATGTGGTTATGAGGCAATATTCCGTTCTCCTGAGCACTGAGAAGCTGCTCGTTCTTCTGGAACGTGCCTTTCACCACCTTAACCTTTAGACGACTGCGCAGGATGATGGCAGCATTACCTACAGGAGCCAGACACAAATATATAAAACAACAAACATCTAAAGCACAACAACTACATTTCTTCTGGTTTCAGAGATGAAAAATAAAAAACTCTCAATCATTCTACCTTCAAACACTTTATCCACCTCTGTTCTAAAAGACTCAAACTTGAATGGTGTGAGAAATCCTAAGGAGCCCAGATGGAAGGCCATGACCGGGGGAACGCTGCCCTTAAACAAATAAGACAAAACCACATTTCATTCTTAAATAAATCTCTAAACAACTCACTTTTGCATATCCAAATTCTCTCAAATTATATGATGCACACAGAGAACATCCAATGGAAAGCAGATGAGACTGACCTAGTAGGAGACTCTTGTGCACAAACAAATGAAATAAGATGAGATGAGAGAATACCTGGAAAAGAGATGATGCATACAGAAGAGTCCCATCTCCACCCAAACAAATAATCAGATCGATGCAGTCCGAGATGTCATCAAACCCTGTGTGAACACAATGATAAATAACTCATTTTCCTAATGCACCCAATCCTTCATTGGTTAATGGTGTGTCAGGGTTATGTAAATCATGTTACAGGTGAACCTGCCGATAACACAGTGAGGTTTCAGTACCTTCCCTGAATGTGCACAGCTGGTTGCGAATGGCTGAAAATGAGTCATCCCTCATGAGAGAGCCATCGTCCACAACTTTCTTCTCCACATAAACCATCAGATGTTTCTCCTGATGGTGGAAATAATTGTGTAAGTATTTGTGTAACCAAATCAAAAAAAAAAAAAACTAATGATACAGTGAAAAAAAATGAAAGGGTAACAATGAAAATGAAAGGGCGCCTGTAACTTCCTAGCTTGTAAATCAACTACTAGTGTTGCTTTTGTGTTGCTTTTGTGTAACCTACCTCCACGAGGAACCTGCAAAGCTCTTTGAACGGCTCCAGAAGGGTCTCATCTCGGATCTTTCTGATGACCAGGACATTGAGCGGTGGTTTGCTCCAGGTAAGCCGCTGGCTGGCTGGATCCTGAATGTGCCTGCGGGGAAAGGCGACAGAGTAGGCAAACATGGTATGTGTCGGCACTGCACTCGGAGCAAAGCAAAACGGCATGTACTTTGTTCTGTTTCCACACTCGTTACGCAACGCAAGTCATGGTCAAATGTTGGAAAGCACTGTAATGTAGACTTCTGCTTTTGGTTTCTCATAGTTCTAGGATCAGATCGATTTCAGTACTAATAAATTAATAAAAAATAGCTGTCGTTTTACACATTCACATTTAAAAATTTAAATATTTATATACACATCTTATTTATTGTACCAAGGAATAACTGGCTGTTGGAATAAGTCCAACAGTTAGGTTTTTCTATAACTCCACTAAGTTTCTAAATTTTATCGTTGCATGAAATCCAGAAAAAGTATTTTTTAGAGACTCACTCTAATCATCTTTCTTGATCTGAAACATACAGAAAATGAAATAACTAACATATCTCATTCCATCTAAACAACATGTTAAGCACAACATCAGATATCAAACCATAAACCCCACATTACCCTCTGCATGGGGTTTGTCCTGGGGGGGCGTAAAACAGGCATAGTGCTGGGGGGCTTTTTTTTTTTTTTAGAAAGTTCAAGCAGGACCACTCTTGTGACAGCAACAGCGGTGCCTGACTGCGCTGCTCTCCAGCTTCATCCAACAAGCCACCCTGAACCAATCAGAACTCAGCACACAGCCTTATCGCCACACTTGTTCAATCCTTTGCTTGACTTAAAGTTTAAACAGTAACAAGAGACAGATGTGACCAAGCCCCTTACCAAAAGTGAGCCTGACTTTGCTTACTTACATGACTGAGGTTGGGTTGGGAAGAACACAAGCTTTGGGTCCAAAGTGAGTAGCAGGATATGGTCCATGTAGAAAGTGCCCTCGTCTGCAACAAATAGGTACTTAAATCACTGCACATTTTTATTTTTAGGGTTCAACTGGTCTAAACCAAATGGAGTGTTTTGTACCTGCATCTATCCCATCTTTTTGGGCAACTCTCCGCAGTGTCCTCCACGGATGCAGAAGCTTCTGATCCGGGATGCTCAGGCAACCAATGTACGCTTCCCCCCGACAGGTGTTCTGGACAGTCTGGCCTCCGAAGAGACCTCTTCACTTCTTTGCGTCTCCTTGGAAGTTTCCCCTGCCGCTCCTGCTGCCTCTGTGACCTCTTAGATGAACTACCCTCCTCCGCCTTTCTGGAGGGCGGCTCATCTTCCATGCCTTCAATTCTTATGGGGGACAAAAAAATTATACATCATTATAAGATAACCAAATAATGTAAATGAGTTGAGAAGACCTAAGTGGGCCCCCTCGTCATGGGGCCACGGAAAACAATCCTGGTTAATAATTCAATGGTACCTATATTTCCAGGCAGCCCTGCTGTATATGGGTCAAAGACGAAAAAGGCTTTTTACGCATCAAAACAAGGCTTTGAATTGTTGTTTTTCAATACATTAGAAAGTGTCCTGTTCAATTAAATAGTTTTTTTCTGCGCAAAAAATTAATTGCATACATTTTTACCATGATTTACAGAAAATAGCCACTAAAATGTCATTCAGTGTAACAATCTTGTCAGGCATATTTTATCAGGCATATTTACAACAAGAATCAGTTTATGACATATTTAAAGACTAATTAGTTTTACTTACTGGAATATATTACCCAACATTTCTAGTCATATTCAGGTTATCGGGCCCAATCTTTTGTAATACTTGTATGTTTTATCTTAATTTATGTTGATTAAATCACTAACTTTTTCTTTAATATACAAATTTCTTCATTCATTTTGACATATAAACTGGCTGAGTGAAGTAATTTATAAGAGATAGAACAATGTCTTATTTCCCTGTTCTTGTTTGCATGTACAAGTTAAGCACTAAAAAAATAAAATAAATTAATAAAAATAAAAAAACTGAGTGAATGCACGCAAAAGACCGGAGGAAGATCGCCGTAATGCACAGTTTATGCGCGCACAGAAAACAGTGTGGCGGCTAGATTTACCGTGCATTTCGAAGTGTCGGCTGGCTTGACCGCAGTCACGACTTGCCGATTCTGAGCCGATCCTTTTATTACCAGCGGCGCCGGCAATGACATAACAGCCACGCGCACACTCACATTTGTGTGTAAACATGTCGTTTCGCGTGAGAATGATTTTAATTTTAATTGCATTCAGTGTAAACAAATGATAATGTATTTATGTCGTGCCAGATGAGGCTTGCACAGCCTGAGTGAGTGTGTGAGAGAAACAGCACACACAAAGTAACTCTCAGAAATGTATAGATACATACTGCGGTAGAAAAAAAAATATATTTACAAAATATGATTTAGGTAAGCAACATTATATGGCTATGGTGTTTCCCCGAATATCAATACCAACACGATTGCGATGTGACACTTATTTTATACAATAGTATTTCAATAAACAAGAAGTTAAAATTAAGTGACTTAGATTTTAGACAAAATATTGACTGTTTTTGCTCAATTACGAAATTGACGAAAATAGTTCAGATCAAAGCCACAGCATAACTGTTGTGGGTCTCAGAGCCAGGGTTGCCAGGTGTTCACAAGCAAACCCGCCCAATCGCTACTCAAAACTAGCCCAATCGCGTTCCGGGGGGTAAAATACACGTTTTTGTCGGGGTTCCCCTGCTAAAATTTGCATTCCAGGAGATAAATATCATGTTATTGGAGTCGCTTCAACCCGCGGACATGAAAAACAACCCATGGCAACAGTGTTAAAGTAGCCCAATTCCGCGGGAAAACCGCAGACTTGGCAACACTGCTCCGAGCAACACACAGCGTTGTTTCGTTACTGAATGAATCCACGTTTTTGAATGAATCGAGTGAGTCAATGATTCAGTGGCCCATTCATTAGGACAGTCATTTGCCTCGTTTCTAAATGAATCAGCCATTTGAATGAATCGGTTGAATGAATGAATAAATGACTCACTCATTAAAACAGACATTTGCCGCCACCTACTGGTGGTTTAGTCATATTTAAAAGTATCATTGCATTTTTTCAACATTTATTTGTGTTAAAAAAAATATGTAAAACATTAATCTTATAAAAATTATTTATGCATTTGACATTTTGCAGTGTAAATGCATTTATGGCACCTCAGCTTCATCAAACTGTCTGTGTAAACGCATCTAATGCCACTTCAGATGCAGCTTCTGTTTCCTCAGCAGTGGAAAGATAGAGTTTGTTAATACTAATTTCATTTGAATGGTAACAACTTTACAGTTTCTTATTATTCTAACTGAATTAATTGAAACAAAGTAAGAATTTGATGTGAAAGATGACATTTAATAAGGTTAGGGGAAAATTTTCATTTATAAACATAGTGGGAAATTACATCTGTTTTGTTACATACATCAACTCATTTAAAGTTAACTATGTCTTCCTCTTTCCAGTCACAGAGCACTTTATTTTGAGAGTTG